ATATATATATATAAATATATATTTATTTATATATATATACATATATATATATATATATATATATATATATATATATATATATATATATATATATATATATATATATATATATACATATATAAATATATATATATACATATATATATATATATATATATATATATATATATATATATATATATATATATATATATATATATATATATATATATATATATATATATATAATATATATATATATGTATATATATATATATATATATATATATATATATATATATATATATATATATATATATATATATATATATATATATATATATATATATATATAAACAATTTAAAATGTATTCTACAAAAAGAGTGCTCAATGTTCTTAAAAGAACAGAGCAATTACAAATTAATAATATTCTTAGAAATAAATTAAATTTGCAACAGTGGAAAAATACCACTGATGTTATAAATTGGTTCTCCATAATCGATAATAAAAATGACTGTACATTTATTCAATTTGATATTAATGATTTTTACCCCTCAATAACTGCAGATATTTAAGATAAAACAATGAATTTTCAAAAAGCTTTCAAAAATTAATAAGCCACACAGTTATTCCTGAAGAAACAATTCGCATAATAAAACATTGTAGAAAAACCTTACTTTATTTTAATAAGTAAACTTGGAAAAAGAAAAACATACATAACTGCTTTGATGTAACAATAGGCAGTTATGATGGAACAGAAATTTGTGAATTTGTTGGATTATATATTTTAGATTTATTAAGTAAAATAATCAATATAAATGATTTAGGCCTTTATCGCGACGATGGTTTAATAGTAATGCGTAAAAAATCTGGTCCACAGCTTTATAAATTTAGAAAAGATATTATAAAAAATTTTAAAAATATTTGCTTTCAAATTCAAATAAACATAAATTTAAAAATTGTGAACTTTCTTGATGTCACATTTAACCTCTCGGAAAATACATATAAGCCTTTCAAAAAACCAAACGATGAATTATTGTATATTAATATTAACTCAAATCATATACCCCAAATTCTAAAACAAATCCCGATTTCAATTAATAACAGACTTAACCAAAACTCCTCTAATGAAAATGTATTCAATTCCTCCAAACAGATATTTGAAGATGCCCTTAAAAAAAGTGGTTTTGAAAACTTTGAATTAAAATTTGACCCTGAAAATGAATACAAAAAAGCGAAATAGAACTAGAAATGTAATTTGGTTCAACCCCCCATATAGCAAATTGGTTTCTAAATGCAGGAACGAAAATAAGTTTCTCCTAAAAAACTATAAAAATAAGTGAGCTCAAATAATAGTTACATTAACTCCACTTTGAAAAAAATATATTATTTTTTAAAAAAGCTTAAGTAATCATTTCTAAAGAATTCTTTTAACAATAGTGTCAGCAAATTACACAAATGTGTGAAAAATTGCAGTAGTTAAGACATGTGACTTCCTGTAATTTAATTTTTGGTATAAATTGAAGTTTTATTAATTTGATCATTCATTTCTGATGAGTCTTTATTGATGAAATTATAATTAAAGTATTAAATGAGAAAAAATTTTGCTAAGTGATTTTTTACTAATTTATATATATATATATATATATATATATATATATATATATATATATATATATATATATATATATATATATATATATATATATATATATATATATATATATATATATATATATATATATATATATATATATATATATAATTATATTTAGATGAATAAAAACAACTGATTAGCGGGACTTAAAGTTTCATGCCCGAAGGCAATCATCAGCCGTTAATATAAACAAAAAACGTAAACAAACCGTTACAAAAACGTAAAAATTACTGTAGAATGACACCTGACGTTATAAACAAATCTTCGTAGAAAACAAATCAAAAAACAAAAAGCCGTTATAGTTTATTAGTCCCCTGTGTCAAATAAAGATAAGAGGAATTTTTTTGAATGTCGACACTGAGATACGATTTCGTTTTTTTTATTCAGTAGGTTTGTTCCATTATGTGATAAAATTACATATTTTTCGTAGAGACAAAGGTGGCATATTTTTGTTGCTAGATTGTAAGGTTTACAACGTTTGACAATTTTCCATTCTATAATGGGCTTTATGTTTTGGTCTTTTAAGTTCCATACCTCCTTAGATAGTTCTGTGTCATTTCTATATTTAACTGATGCAAATGATTTGAGATGGTTTGCGTATCTTAGTTTAAATGGTGTATTACTAATGCCAAAATATACTTTTTTATTACAATCATGATGACTGGAACTTACGGTTGCTTGATAGACAATATTGTCAGATAAATATTGATTGTTTAAAGGGCAAAATGCCTTATCTACGCAGTTACATTGGTTGGTTTTTAATTGATTTTTGTTGTGTAAAATTTTGATATTATGCGAATTTATGATAGATTTTAGGTTAGGCATGCAGCTGTAGCTAATCTTAATGGAATTTCGGTTGAATATTTTATGTAGCTTGTGGCCGGCTGGAAAATGTAAGTCAATAAGGGCTAGAAAACGGTTTCCTATTTTTGTTTTGACGTTTAAACTCAACGGAGGGTTATACCAAATAATATTACGTTTACGTTGCTTTTTTTGTTGATTTTGACTTGAGATTATTTGTGGTTGGTAGGTAAGGGTCGATTTGTATCCCGATTTTTTTAAAGCCTCTTCATACGGTGGAATAGCCTTTTTGAAGAATATTTCATTACTTGACATGGAAGATAATCTTTGTTCAATATTGCGAGGGATTGCTTTTATTATGTTTGGAGGGTGGTTAGAATTAGAGTGGATGTACCTTATTTGATTATCAGGTTTAGAATATGGTTGAAACGTATCGTTACTTAAATTTATTGTAACATCGAGGTAGTTAACAATTTTTAAATTAGATTGAATGGTGATTTGAAGATCGCTTTTTTTAAAAATGAGTGTTATATGCTTTTTGATTTTTTCCATTTGCTGACCATTTTTGTTCTTGAATACAGCAAGACCGTCGTCACGATATAGCCCGAAATCTTCTTTATTATAATATTGTGAAACTTGATACAGTATGTATCCCATTGTTACATCGAACAACCCACCTCTTTTTTTAATCCATGCTTCATCGTTGTTGAAGATAAGAAATTTTCTTGCATGCTTTATTAATGCTTTGTTTTCGCTTTTGATAACGATATGATGGTCAGAAAAATTCATAGCATTGTTGAGGGTGCTTTCCTTTATGGAAGGGTAGAAATCGTTAACATCAAAAACTAGGAATTTGTATAAGTGCTTATTGGTGATTTTTTTAAACCAGTCTAAAACATTTTGCGTACTTTGCCATTGATTCAAAGAAAGTTTATTTTTAAGTTGACAATTAACTTTTGCCAAAATTACCTTAGAAATTCGTCCTACCTCATTTTTTGAAGGGTTCAAAAAGCGCACAGATGGATTGTTAGCGAAGTTTTCCTTGTGATCTTTCAAAGGGAAAAAACAGTTAGAGGATCCGTTTATTTCTATTTTTTTATATACCTCGTGGTTGGTTAAAATTTGTTTTCCTTCTTTGATTATATGGTCTTTTAATTTTGGATTTGCTTTTTTGTAGGTAGTGGTAATAGCATTTGTTAACAGATTATTGTAATCTTCTTTAGACAGTTTATACATATTTGATGTTTTGTCAGCATGTGATAGGGTTTTGTGAGATTTACGTATAGTTTTGATATCTTTTTTCATACCATTTTGAAAAGTGTTGCGTATGTCTTGAAACTATATTGATTTTATAAGATTGATTAAGTCTTTTTCGAAGAATGACATTTCTTTTATTTGCGGTGGACATGTAGGAGATCTAATTCCGTAGTTTGTATAATTGATATTGCCTTTAATTCTTGGATCGTTATTAATAAAAAAGAATGCTTTCCATCTCATTTTCTTTAAGAGTAATTCCGTTTTGTTTATTAATTTTAATTTAAAGTCTCTTTCTGACGGTATTGAAATGTTTTTTATTGAATAATCAAAGTTTATTTTATCCATCGCGTTGACGGCTTTGAGTAAAGTGCTCAACTTTACGGAGCAAATATTTGTACAGATTTCGATATATAGTATATATTCGAGGTTAAGTATTTTGATGTAATAATACGAAGTCTCTTGTACGTGTTACAGTGCTCAATATTACTGAATAATAGAGCTATATATAATTATATTTATCATTTGCATCAGTTAAATATAGAAATGACACAGAACTATCTAAGGAGGTATGGAACTTAAAAGACCAAAACATAAAGCCCATTATAGAATGGAAAATTGTCAAACGTTGTAAACCTTACAATCTAGCAACAAAAATATGCCACCTTTGTCTCTACGAAAAATATGTAATTTTATCACATAATGGAAAAAACCTACTGAATAAAAAAAAACGAAATCGTATCTCAGTGTCGACATTCAAAAAAATTCCTCTTATCTTTATTTGGGGACTTACTTACAGGGGACTAATAAACTATAACGGCTTTTTGTTTTTTGTTTTTTGATTTGTTTTCTACGAAGATTTGTTTATAACGTCAGATGTCATTCTACAGTAATTTTTACGTTTTTGTAACGGTTTGTTTACGTTTTTTGTTTATATTAACGGCTGATGATTGCCTTCGGGCATGAAACTTTAAGTCCCGCTAATCAGTTGTTTTTATTCATCTAAATATAATTATATATAGCTCTATTATTCAGTAATATTGAGCACTGTAACACGTACAAGAGACTTCGTATTATTACATCAAAATACTTCACCTCAAATATATGCTATATATCGAAATCTATACAAATATATATATATATATATATATATATATATATATATATATATATATATATATATATGTATATATATATATATATATATATATATATATATATATATATATATATATATATATATATAATAATTATATTATATACAATATTATTTGTTTTAAAATTTTATTTATTTTATGTTTTACTTACGAGCAAGTGAAATAAGATCCATTTACATTGGTCTGTAACAATGTCACATATGCAACCTAAGAATAAAAATAATTTAGTTACATTTAAATTAATTGCATACAATAATTTATTTTAAAATTAATTACTTTAAAATGTTACATGTCCATTTTTAGAAATTAATTTAATAAAAAAATAAAATTTTTTTACAAATTATCATTGTTATTTATTATAAGTTAAAATTTTTATGAAGAAAATATTTTCTTAAAAATCTTAATCAAGTTTTTTTTTAATTAATAAAAGTTTTTAAATGGTAAAATTTAAGCTAGCTTAGTCTATTTTAAAATTTAAACTAGCTTGGTTTATTTTATTAAATATGTTATAATAATTAATAAAATTTTCATTGATTAAAAATAATAAAAATTTATTATTAATAATAATAAAATTTCAATTAAAAAAAAATGATATTGTGATTATTTCATATTAAATAATTCTATATTTTGAGCTGCACAGTTTTTTGTAACCAAACATTTGTGGATTTTTATTATAATATTCTTAAATAAACCAACAAACAATGTGACACTTGTAACATGTAATAATCATTCGCAAGGTAATAATCTTGTAACATAAATTATAGTAACACAAACATTGACAGTTTTCATTGTGAAAGTTATACAACACTTGGTTATTTGAATACCACACATGATTATACTGCACTTATTTTAATATTATTTGGATATTTAAAAAATAACTCACCTAACTAACAGTATAAGATATATATATATATATATATATATATATATATATATATATATATATATATATATATATATATATATATATATATATATATTATATGTAAGTGTATTCAACAATATTTTACAATAGAGTGCTTGATGTTCTTAAAGAACAGGGCAAAAATTATAAAGTTAAAAAACTTATCTAATTATTTCTTCGAAAGATTGCTTCTACTTCTGTAAGTTCTTTAGGAAAAAATATCAAAAAATTCAAATTATAGAAGAATATTTCACAGGAGGTTGGGAACAAATATAATCAAATTTATAATTATAGTTAATATGCAGCCAGGAAAATAATCAAACAGTTGTAAGTAATACTCAATGATTTAATTAAATTGATAATAGATTTTTTTCAAAGATTAAAATTAAAAAGAGTTTTTTTTAAGATTAAAAATTCATTTCAGCATGAATGCAGACCACTATTTAAGGAGTTGTAAACAGTTAAAGAAAAAGTTAAAGAAAGTTGTTCTGGTGAAAAACAAATTAAAAAAATTGCAGCTACACAGTACCTACACAGGAGAAAACCAACATAGATTAAACTGGAACAACAAAAAAAAGTTATATTCTTGTTTGAATCCAGGAGATAACATAGTAATAATAATAATGTAGAGATAACATAGTAGGTAATATTTTTATCAGAGAGACCAAAGAGATCAATCAAAGGATCTTTCACAAAGAAAATCATAATATAATTCCAAATTAATTGTAATGTAGTTTTTATGTACATTATGAATTAATGTTTTTGGCAGCGTCAACCATATTTGGGCGCTGCCCAAATTAAAAATTGAGGACCTTTTTTTTTTTATTGAACAAATGTTGTTGTGTTTTGTGATAATATGCCAATATTTGGCAATATTTTCACTAAGTTTTTTTCTGTGACGGGGGGTACCGCCGTCCAAATATTTTTTTCTAGAATAGTCCCTGTATACATATATGTATATTAGTCCATCCCATTCTGAACCTCATGAAAAAATTTTAATATGGGGAGTGTCATTAAATATTCCCAAGTTATTGTTTTCTTGATTATTGAGATTTTTTAATAATTATTTTGGATGACAATATATATTTGCACCACTCTTTTAAAGTTTAAGATTTTTACATTTTTTGAATTTTTAAGAGCATTTTTAAACAATCAGCACAAGCAGAAATTTACAAAATCATTAACTATATAATAATGTCATTACAAATAATGGAAGGTTTTTTTATCTATACCGATTGTGCCCATTTTTATTACTATACTTTTTCCTAACTGGTGGTATTTGAAAGACACAAATTGGTTATGAAATTAAAAAAAACAAAATGTATAAATTTTATTTATTAATTGTAAAAAATATATACATATGAGGAAAAAAATCAGACCATTGAGTGAAAAATAACAAATATGGAGCTGTTTCACACGCCTTGAAATTCATAAAATTCAAGTTGCATTACTCTAAAATCAGACAGGTTTTTATTCTGAGTAAGAAAATACTTAAAGAGATCAATAAAATGGCTGACTATTTTTCTCTTTTCAGGGTAGCGCAGTTTTTAACCTGGGACTTTTCTGATTCTGCAATTTTTAAAGCAAAACTTAAATTCATAAGTTTTAATATTTTAGCCTTATTTTTTTTGAATAATTTATGTCATAAAGTAACAAATTGTTTAAAAACAATGGCTTGCATAATGGTTTAAAATTAGATATAAATTAAAAAGAAAATAACTCTAAACCAATTTTTTTCTAATGACAGACTTTTCTTAAAATCAGTAGAAATATAATAAAAATGAAATGAATAGAAGTAACCTTTTGATTTTATTGTGTGAAAATTAAATTTAATAAGTTTTTAGCAGTGCCATTTCAAATCTTACTTTATCTACATTACATTATTCTTAATTTAAACCTTTAAGATCAAGCTGAGGCATAGTGATAGCATACTTGCTTTAGAAAAAAAGGATTTATGGTTCAAACCACACCACATGGTTCAAACCACGGAAGTTTTGCGACATCGGTTAAAAAGAAGGCATGAACTTCTAATAAAATGCTTAGCAGTGCTCTGTGATAAGACCATATAGACTTCTTGGGCACCTAAATAAAAATAGAAAAAAAAAATCAACAAGACTATTGGCAGATGTATAATGAGCTTGCTAGAGAAATGAAATTCAATAATGGTAAAACTATAGAGGTGTTTGGTGCTGGGGTTAGCATCTTTTGACCGAGATCACAATATAAAAATAATAAAAAGTTCTGTATTCAAAAACAAATGGAGTTCCATAAAGATGTAAAAATAAATAGAACCAAAGCTGAAATCCTTCTAAAAAGCAGTTTTTATTGATAAGACCAGCCACTAGGTTTTCAGTTGTATATTTTATCAGACTACAGGGTAATTTTTGATATTATATGTTATAGTTTGAAAAAATATTTATGAGACTCCCTCAGACTTGGGTACAATGTAGTCGCAAACAACTCATCAGAACTCACAGCAAAATTGTAAATCTATTAAGCATAGTTTAAGAAACTTATTTCTCAAAACAAGAAATATATTTCTTGTATTTAAAAATAAATTGCAGGGTAGGATATTCATTTCTTAAAATAAGAAACATATTTCTTGTTTTAAGAAAAATATTTTGTAACAAAAAATATTATTTTGCTTTGCTTACAGTAAAATTTTTAAAAGTTCGAGCGTATGATAAGATTGGAGATGCTACAGAGGCTACTTCAAATAAAGAGTTCTAGTAAAGAACTATTTAAAAAAAGAAGAGCAGATTCTAGGAGCTAGCTATGACGATTGCTTTCTCGCTTTCTCATTATTAAATGGTTCTTATAATTTGAATTTTGATCCGATATCTAACTGCAAACTCTAATTTTTAAAAGTACATTTAAAAATATTTTTTTACATTTTTCTTGAGATATTTGTCTTAAGCTGAAAATTTATATGTATATAAATATTTATTTTACATTTGCAGCATTTGTTTCAAATTTGCTTCAGAAACAAGAGATCTGTGACAGCAATGGATCCAGCATTTTTTGGTGTTTGAGATAGCTAACATAAAGCAAAATCCAAATATTTGTATATTTATACTTATGTCAAATAATTATGCTTTTTAAAGATTGCAATGATTGGAGGCTGGGAAGAAAAAAGCCCTAAAATATTATCCCCCCCTGCACCAAATGTTAAAGCAGCAAGTTGATGAAAAATTTTATTTGATTTTCTTAACTAAATTTATATACATCAATAAATTTTTTTATTGATGTATATAAACTTGTTGTTCTCACGTTTGGGGCAGGGGGGATAAAATTTTTGGGTTTTTTTGTTCCCAGCCTCCAACCATCCCAATATTTTGTAAAGCCTCATTATTTGACGTAAGCATAAACATACATATGCTGGGGCGTGTACAGAAATTTTTTTGGGTAAGTCCAAAAAAAAAAAAAAATTTATGTCCCCCTCTGCCTCCTTATTTTTTTTAGAGAGGGGGAGGGGTCCGGATTTTGACCGGACTGAGTGTATTTTAAAAAAATGTTTTTATTCTTTAAATGACTTGTGACATTGATAAAATGGTCACTCAAGCTCAAAATATGATATTTGCAAACTAAAAAAACTATTTTTTGAAAATACTCAGTTGTCATAATGTAAAATATAAACAAATTAAAATTTTTTACAAGATTTGTAAAAACAATTTACAAGGTTAATACAAGATTTTGCTGTGTAAATTTTTTATATAACTTTATAAATAATATTTAATTATAAATAAACTTTATAAATACTTAAAGTCAAAAAACTTATTGCAATAACTGTACAATGCTAAATGTTTTTACTAAGATGTCAGCTATAAAAATAGCTGTTTACCAAAAAGCAGCTCAAACATTTGAAGTTATACTTTTATCGTATTTGAATTTTATTTAAAACACAACTCATAAGTATTTATAACAAACTTAAAAAGGTTTGTTGCTTGAAATTTTTCAGTATTATTAGATTAAATTTCATTTTTGAAATTCAGGCAGTTAAGTGAAATTCATCTAAACTTCCCACAGATCAAATTTAAGTATAAAGCCTTTGGTTTGGAAATAATAAATAAATCTAATAAAGACTTTGGTTAAACAAAAGACCTAAAACATATGATTTGGTCTTCCCAACTAGTATAACAAAACATTGAATTTCTGCAATCGTTTTTAGAAGAAACTGAATATTAGAAAGAAGAAATTAAAACACAGGTACTTATAACACTTCAAAATTGTATCAATCAAACATTGTGTTAAACTAAGTAATTTAGAAAAAACTCATATAGTCTAGCAAGAAACAGCGATAACC